CAGCAGGAAACAAAAGGAAGGAGCTAAAAAGCCCAGCAGAAAACTGATGTTAAGTTTGGTATGTGACTGAGACAAGGAACTAAATGCACCCAGATCTGCACCAACGCGGCTCGCTCCTGGCCCTAAGCCCTTTGTAGAAGACAGGGCGGAACAAGGACCTCTCCCTCTCCAAATCCAGTCTCCCATTGCTGCAGTAACCTGGCATCATCAAAGCCAAGCAAGTTTCACAAGAGCTGCCAAGCAGCTTATGCCCAGGAACTATCTCCCAGCTCCCCAAGACTATTTCTTCTCTTCATAGCTAAGGGTAGATAAGATTTCCGATAGGAAACCTGCTTAAGAGCAAGTCCACCTTTCTCCAGATTTATCTAAATATGAGTTTTATCAGAAAACGCAGAGAACAGCCAAAGCAATCCTTAAGAGTTTTGAAGTACAGCCAGGAGCCTTCCTGCCTTGCCTTTTTTTGCCTTGCTTGAGAAAGGCAAATTACTGATTTGGGCCACACGGTGGGGTAAGGCAGAACTGCAGCCTGGCTCTTCCGCCCGGATTTCTGCATTGCGAAGTGAACGGCTCAGAAGGAACGTGAGGGGAGAAAAATGCACTTTGGGACTAAGTCCCCTCACCTGGGGACCTCCCAGAATCCAGCTGAACTTCCCGCACAGCCTCCGAGGACCCACCATAAGCAAGATGGAAAGCTACACTCACCCCATGCTGCCTGAGAGTTGTTACTTACACTGACTGTATTTTGGGGAGGTCTGGGACTTCCTCCTTTTTCTTGCGGAATAAGAACCAGTAAGTAAAAAGCCCGGTGATGAGCGAGATGAGAAACACGTCCGTCATGCTGAAGAGAGAGTCTTGCTGTGCAATGTTGTCGGGAGGGGAGATATTCGGTTCCATGCCGGCATCCCCCATGATGGTCAGAGGCACTGTAGGCGAGGAAAAACAGATGAACACCAGCAGTCACATACTACCACAGAAAACCAGAAGGGCATTAAGGGACGGTAAGAGCATGCTTTTCCATACGTTTACTCCTAGGAGCACAAGGCAGCCCAACAACTTTTTGGAGAGAGGCTCTGCACCATAATACTGCAGGATCCTTTTGCGTCCCAAGGTATCTCACTGTCCCACCAAGCTTTTACCTTCCCGTTGCATCCATGCTGATCCACCAGAAGTGACTTCTGCTCCCCCTCCGCCAGCACCATTGGAGCAGCCCCACATTCCAGCCAGGGAGCCCAACCTGGCTCCTACTAACGCCCCAGCAAAACTCAACAGGTACTCATGGCCAGCCTTTACTAAAGTCCTTACTCACCACGGAGCCCATGGGGTGTTAGCGGGGGAAGACCCCACTCTTCCAGTCACCCCACAGATCTGGGGCTTTCTCCCTCCTTTCCACAAGGTGACACAATGCCCCAGACCTACTGCTGTGCTTATAAACTGCAGAGCAGGACTGTGGCATGGTACTTCTGTGAGCATCCCCACACTAGGTCGTTACAACACAAATGATTAATAGTTCTGATTTACTATCCACCTCCGCATGCAGATTGGATTTACTATCCACCTCTTTCTGGGCCTCTGGTTTCCCAGTCCCCTCCACTATCTTCCCCAGCTTAACTTCCACCTCCTTGAATTACTCCCTTCCACTTGCCAAGGCAGAGTTTAAGAGGCTTGTGACTTGCCCATGGCTGTACCCATAGTCCGCAGTAGCACAAGGATGGGCACCCAGCCCTCAAGTCCCTGACTAGCCGTACGGCCCCTGTCCTTCCCCTGTGGAGCCACCCATCACTCCCTCCCTCCTGCTGCTCTGCCAAAGCTCTGAACTTCTCTGACCTTAGTCCAGATCACAAGATTATCTTCCCAACATACAAGGACACACTCTGTCCAAGCAAACAGATAATTAATTCAAAACTTGATTTGTAAGGGCAAAGTGACTCTCTTCTTGTACTGGGGCATCCTGCCAACCCAGGAGACCATGGACATTTTAACTTGCACACAGAAAAGTGACTCAGAGTCATGGGGGTGCCAATGGAGAGAAAGGATATGTCCCATGGCTGAGCTGTGAGGGGAGAGTTAACCTGTTCAGCAAACCTGTGCCTGCCGGAGAAAAGCTCCCAGACAGTTTTCCCGGGGGGCTGAAAGAGAAGCAGCAAACTCCAAGTTGTGCCTGAGCTGACAAATAAAAAAGACTGAATGCATTCAGGAGCTGGGAAGAAAAGGGAAGGTGATGCTTAGGGAGCACTAACAAGGGAGACCAGGTAAGGTCTTCAGCAAATAAGAACCCCTTGTTGTTACCCCACCAAAGAAAAGTCCAGCTCTGAAGAACACGAAGTACTCTGCCACAGGCCATCAGATATAAAAGGCAGCCCTGCGGAGTGCAGGGAGAAGTCCACAGCCATCTGGCAGTGATCATGGGTGGGCTCCTGGGTATTTTTGCAGCCCAATCAGCTCTCAGCCCTATGAGAAGTTTAATTCAGTGGAGAACTTGGCAAGTGACTGTACTACAAAGGGCACTAAAACACCACTGCAAAGCTTTCCATTAGGTTCCCAGAGATGACACTAGGCAGGGGGGTGGAAGAAAAATGTTAGTGATGCAACTGCAAACAAGCAAATTGCTCATTCCTCTCCGTCAGGCAGGTCACCCTGTTCTCCCTCCCTGGCAGACAGGCTTTCCATCGCTGGATCTCAGAGCCAAGCAAGAGCTGGGTGTTATTTATGTACAACTGTAGACTAAACTGTTAAGTTAAAGCCTCCACAACTGGAGCTTAGTTGCCAACAACACACAGCTCCCAGCAGGATCCCTCTCCTCCTCCGTGCTGGGTTCCAGTAAACCAGTGAGGAACAGGTCCAGCAACTGACACTGAGGAAACACACTAGTGGGGGAAACCACATTGCTGGTTTATTGCCTTCACAAGTCCTTTCCCATGGCACATAAGGCAACGACAAACCTTTGCTCAGAGGAAGCCATGAAAAAAACCCAAGGCTGATGGAGACCATGCTAAGCTGGTTTTGGGCAGGAGCTCCACCCTTTCCCTTCTGAGCACCAAATCCAGCACTCGCAGCAGCCAAGCCCTAGGAAAGCCTCCCTGCACAGAGCACAGCAGCATCCCTTGTAACAAACTGCACGTGGAGGCAAGTTTCAAGCTAGACACATCTTCGGTGGGCAGCAGCCAGCCCAGGGTGGAACGCATACAGGCTGCATATGCCTGGCCCCACAGCAATTCCCCTCCCAGCTCCAGATAGCTCAGACATGGATATTCGCCAGCTGCCCTTACACAGGGCGAGTAAATGAGTTCCTGGGCTAATCAGCAAGGCGAAGGCTACGTCTCCAGCAGCAATACATTACCATGCCCAAAGCAGCAGAGCTTCTGGCCTCCCAGAGCAGAAGGGACAAGCAGCAGCCACGAGGGGTTTAGCTTTTTCAAGCCTCCGGAGGTGGTCTGTTCTCCCAAGCAGCGATGCCTTGGAAGGAGGCATCCTCGGGAGGGAAGCTCCTGGGAATGCAGTGTGGACAGACGCAGGGGAGGAAGCCGTACTATCTCCTGGCCTTCACCACGCTGCAGCTCTCCAGCACTTCAAAGGGGAACCCTCCAGCTGCAGCAGCCGGACCACCCGCTCGGACCACTCCCCACACCCACAGCCAGAGGGAAGAGCACCATTTCTGGAGGCTTATGGGTCTGGTGCACGGACGAGAGTCTTGGTTTGGTCTCCTCTTTTCATTCACAAGTCTCCATAGCATAAAGATTATATACTGACCTCTAACCCTGGACGGAAACACAGTCGTTCTCTACTGATGGAACCAAAGACACAAGAACTGCTTCAATTTTGATGATGGGCTCCATCTGGTCCTGGACATTTAGTTATTCGAGTCCTATGTCCTAGCTACAGGTTTTTCTTTTTGCTCTCCCTTCACCATCCCCACCCTTAGGAAAAGGTTTGCTTAGATGTAGCAAGAGAAAGGCAAAGGATGTGGAATTAGACTTCACACTTCTTTTTTTAAAGGGTTGTCATAACTCAGGAACTATTTATTTAACTCACGTCACCTGGCACAGGAAGATTATTCCTCAATTTATACCTAGTTGGCGGTCAACAATTATTTTCCAGAAGTTCACAGCAATTCATTTTCAAATACATGTCCTTTTCGACCTTTCAGCAAAAAGAAAGCTGACTTTTACTTGGAATTTAGCTATCCTGGAAATCCTGCAGTCTCTGGAAGGACCCCAGTAGAATCAGACAGGGTTTTTCGGGGGGAGGGTGTGGGGTGGGGAGAAATTTATGATGTAGAAGTAAAGTTCCCCTGACACCAGTTTCAAGGGTAGTTATTTTATCCCCTATGTTTATTATACCTTCAATCAAGATAAGACAAGCTTCCATTTCTCCTTTTTTTTTTTTTTTTTCCTTAAAATCATGGCTCCAGTTCCTGGATTCTTGTTTATGCACACAGTATCTGGTGTAAAGCAATCAGTCTCAGCCGAGATGTGAGGCATCTACATCACACATTTTGAAAAGTCACAACATTTTGAAAGATTGCAATCAAGCGATGCTATATTTTAGCACAGCTTTTCAGCCTCTGAATGCAGCTTCTAAACCTGGGAATTTGCTTGCTACACGGCAGCTTGCAATCATTCAAATCACCGGGGAACCTCTCTGCACATCTCCACCCTGCCAAACAGATGCACTTCCTTCTCATATTAAAAAAATGTATTCCTAATACTCATGCACATCTCTGAATCAAAGGATTGGAAGCACTGTCAGTGCTAGGCAGCCTCAAATCCACCACGATTTCCACGTGGACTAAAGGTGCTATCATGTCACAGCATTAGAAATATTAAAATATAAATAAAAATAGTATTACAACAAACAAGACGGGATGGGGAGTGCCCTAAAAGCCAAATGGTCAGCAACCCGAAGAGATCTATTCTTCCCCCTCTCTTGCACACAGCCGATGGCAGCATCAGGAGCTGGTGCAGCAGATGCCCCCAAAAGCACGCTGGAGCCCTCCCCTCTAACTGGCAGGCACAGCATCACGGCCATGAAACATGGCTGGGAGGTCTCCCTTTCTGCCAAATACAAGGATGTTTCTGCAAGTCACATTGTAGTATCTTCTAGTGATCAAAAAGCCCTGTCTCTTAAGCTAAGTTGGCAATTTGGGCATGAAGTTGGCTCTCTGAGTTGAAGTAGCCTTTTATTTATATAATGTTTGTGATGAGTTTCAAGTATCTCAGGACAATTTAGCTTCCCGGTCCCAGACCAGGACTGCAGCTTGTGACTCTTACTCCAAAAATGAGTGATGAAGCTCTATGCTTGACTTTCCTCTGCCCTGTGCCATCATAAGCGTGCCATGACCCACAGCATCAGCCCTGCTCATGTGAGAGGGAAAGGAGAAGGAAGACTGCTGACCAAGCACAGCCCCACGCTGTTGACCGCTCCCACCTCCAGTAACTGATCTCCAGGCTCCAGCCAGCCGCTGATCACAGCCTGTAGCACCAAGAAGCCCCCGAGTTCAGCTCAACACAGCAGAGAGGGCTCCCCACAATCCCCGCACACTCATGTGGCAATAGGCACAAGTCCCGCTGTGCCCTACGGACTCTGCCTGCCCTGGCACGGGGCAGCACAGAGGCTGCACCCCCATCTCCCATGCCCCTGAGCTCATTGAAACAGCCACAGTTTTCCCAATGGGAACCAAGTGGCATCAGCATCCTTTGGACACCCGCAGATAAACACAGGAGCTTCAGGCAGTGCAATATATGCACGCTAAAAGTCAAAGGAGGAATTGAGTGACATAAATGCATGCAATGCCATTAGTCACCCTCCGCCCGACACTTGCCAGGCACCATTCAAAGGGAGCTCAGCAGGGTGCAGGCAGCCAAGCCTTCCCCAGCCCGCAGCAAGGTCCAGGCTGTCTCAGCTAATTGCTA